TTTCCGCCTTTTTTTTTTACGTTAAGTGAGGCAGTGTGGTGTAATCAGGCTCTCGTCAGTTTTCGAGCATGTAGAGTTATTGATATCATCTTAAAGCTTGTTCACTTGTCTTTATTTGGATGTAAAAAATATCCATTTATCTTAAATGCAATTCGAGATATTTGCGAATGAAGGAGATGGGGGTCACCTGTTTTCAGAGGAGAAGTTAGTGAGAAATGGCCGCCAAAGATTACATGTACTTATTTCCTTAACTCAAGAGTCCGTGGTAACTGAAAATTTACATTTTTTTGTGCCTTTAATCAATGTTTTTCAGAAAAATCCACACAGAAATGAGTTCTTTGATGGGCATGAAAGGTGTTGAGCCAAAAAAGAAAATTTTATAAAAATTCACAAACATGCGGAAAAATGCAAGTTTCTCCACTTTGATTATTTTGACGAGCGCCTGATTTCACCATGCTGCCTCACGTTTGTCTTGTGCAGATATTCAAAGTTAGTTAGGTCTCTGGATGATGTGCTGCCTTCCCAAATTGCTACCATAGCAAGTGATGCCAAAATTTATCAAAATTTCTATTGTGGTGGTGTAGAATATCTGAAGGATGAGTGGATTTAGATTGAAAGACCTAAGTTTCCTCAGAAAGTACAGCCTCTGATTTACCTTTTTAAATCGGATATTGTTTACGTGGTTTTGACATGTAAATTTGTTGTCGATTATAAGACCAAGATGTTTGTATGAATCCGTGATTTCAATTGTTTCGTGTTCAATTACGAGAGATGGGATTGTTGGTTTTTCTCTTCTAAAATAAAAAAATCATTTCCTTTGATTTTAAGAGGTTCACTTTTAGAAAAATTTAATTAATCCATTAAAAAAACATACACATTTCTTCGAAATACTCTTTTTCATCAAGGTTTATTGATGCTTTTGAGTATTAAACATTGCTCTCAAAAAAAAAAAAAAAAAGGAACGCTGAAATTAATCAAAGTCAAGACGCCAACAGCAACTGTCTAAATAAGAGGGTTACTAAAGAATTGGGACCAACCAGAGGACCCTGGAATAGCGGCGATATTTCCTCTATTGTTCACCGAACAATGGATTTTCTTACATTGGAAAAGCGAGCAGCTCCTGGGTAGAGCCAGAATTATCTTTTTATGGTAGTCGATTCCAACTCTTCATATTTCCCCTAGCCTGTGTCCAACAGGCCCAAGACTGTCACCTTAATCTTATCCTTCAATTCTTCTGTGGCTTTCCTTTTTACACCGTAATACCTTCTTATCACGCGCGTGTTTACGTCAGAAATGACGGGTTTTGAACCTTTTAAAAAAATTATATAAATGTGCTCTCAGACTACTATTACTGCACTATAGATAAACTACAATTCAGATAATTTAAGAAGCGGGCTTCGACTTTGAGGCACTTTGCCAGACAGGATCAACCGATGCAGTGATGATACAATATTGGTCGCTTTTAAGGACCAGCGGGCTAAC